GTGTGTGTGTGTGTGTGTGGTGTCCCCTAGCCTATATTTTTAGTAATACATAAGCAATGATTTTATTATAAGAAAAAAGGCTGCTTAAGATTTAAAAAGCCAAGATTTCTTACTGAAAATAATAAAAAAGGAATTCTGTCAAATGCTCAACTAAGCCCACCGGTGATAAAAACATCAAAACAAGAGATTAAATGACCACAAGCACAGCAGGTTTGCGACCTCCCTTCCCGGAAGCACCAGCGGGGTCTGCCAGGCCGCTGCATGCTGTCAGCTGGCTGGGTGCCACCTTGCTGCCTCTGGCCGCGCTGGACATAAGCAGTACGGGTCAGCCAGGAAGGTACAGAGCTTCAGGTGGAGAAGAAGCAGCCGGTGCCCTGACTCTGGTCAGTCTGCGGGCACCCTGCTCTAGTCCCTGCCTGCTGGCTGCAAGCCCTGCTCATCTCAGCGGCCTCAGTCTACGGAGATGACCACCAGTATGGTCATGTCGGCCGGCCCCCGGCAGCGAGAGGCAGGACAGTTTGACCGGGGCCCTTACATTTCCACCAAGTCCAGGTCGGGGGCCTCGGGCTCCATGGTGGAAAACACCATCAGTCCCACCAGCTCATCCTTTTCTGCCTTCCTCTTTCCGGTCTTCCACTCCTGTCAGAAAGAGGAGCATGGTGTTAGGTGGACACGGGGCCTGGGGGCAGCCGGAAATGCCCACCCCGTCAGCGTACAGCCCACTTCCTCCCGCACCCTGGACCAATACTGGGACACCATGTGGGAGTCCTTCTGCGGCCAAGCCTGGGAGTGGTGATGGGGGAGGTTAAGCTGCCATTATAAACACATACAACAAATTCTGGAGAAATATTCATTTTTAGGTTAGCAGGTTTTTCTTGGGGGGTAAAAAATACAGTGATGCTAAGTGGTGAACGTCTCCCTCTACTCTGGAAGTCAGCCGGCTAATCTGGTGGGGTGGCTGGCGTCTCCATGGTGACAGTCAGGCAAGGGAACTTTCTGAGGTCTTTTTCATTGTGTTACTGTTCTCTTTGGCCTTCAAAGGTGGATGGGCGGCCCTGACCCTAAGAGTAAGGGTAAGCGAGTGTGGGGTCGAGCCAGCGGGGCCTGTTCCAGGCCCTAGCTTAAAATCCTTTCGGCCCTCTGGTTGAAACATTCTTCTAGGTCGTGTAACCCTGGTGTGTCCACTTGCTGTACAGAGGTAACTTGTGCTTGTGGTGAACCTGAACACTGTGACACTGATGTGTCCAATGTGATAATGGTCACCCATGGTGGATAGCGTTTGGTAGAGCTCCCCGATTAAAACAAGCTTGGAAGCAGGAGTGGCGTCCACTTCCGTAATAGCTTGCCTCTGGAAACCCTATGAACCTGGAGAAAGGATGAACATTAATACAGGTGTCCAGGACTTTCATTCATAGGGTCGCTATGAGTTGCCTACAACTCGATGGCACTTAACAACAAGAAGTGATGAATGTGTTTGGCCGCTGACTGAAAGGCTTATGGTGTGAACTCAGCAGCCATGCCGTGGGAGAAAAGATACAACAGTGGCTTCTACAGAGACTTAGAGCACTGGGACCCTACGGGGCAGTTCTCCGTGCCCACAGGTGCACGGTCAGCCTGCAGCCTGGTGGTCAGTGCCCTGCACGTTCTCAGTGCAGCTTTAACGTGCAAGCCCTTGATTAACAAGAAGGTTATAAACCCTCTTATAATTTTTTGATCAAAGAATTCTCTGTGACACTCAGCGTCGTCTCCCGACCGCTTTTCTACCAGGCAACAGATTTCTGTGACAGTGAGTTCTCCTGGTGTTTACTTCAGAAATCCCGGGACAAGAACGTTTGCTCTCATGTTAACTCGAGAAGCTTCAGTGCCTGTAGAGCTGCCAACTATCTGGCACTGATTTTTAAGACGACTTTATACGATATAAACTGTCAGACAAATACACGAGTAGAGAGAAAAGTGTAATAAACATAAACTCTTCATGGCTCAGCTTCACCCATCTTGTTTTAGTTAGTTTTCCGCATTCCAAATTTTTGCCACTTTAAAGAAATCTCACTAATACATCAAAACATTTTGCCTATAAGTATTTCATTACATATCTGTAACAGATAAGAATATAACCACAATATCACTTAACAAATTAACACAATCGGTTCCAACAAGATTAGCAGGAAGTACAGGAACTGGCTGTCTTTATAAAGTCTTATTACTCCAAGGAGAAATAAATCAATGGCAAACGATTCACTATTTGGCCAGCCATTTATACAAAACAAAATGAAATAAACACACACGCCGAGAACATAAGCCCCACTCTGCATGAAACAGGACAGAAGCACCTTCTAAATCAAAAACCCTTGGCAAATAAACGACGAGCCCTTGTTCAAGTCCTCTGGGTCACCAGAAGTGACACATGTGGAGAAGAGTTTGGTATAAAATAATGAAATTGCTTTTCATATAGAGCCCAGTCAGTCCTAGGACTCCAACCACCAGACAGCTACAGGACACAAAGTGTGCTTGATTTCACGTCCAAACAGAAAAGCGCAGGTTTTCCTGAGTGCCTTGCAAGGCTGGCCTTGAGATCTATAAACACACAAACGCTGAGGCCCGGACCACTTCTCCCTGACCACGTATATGACATCCAGCTGAGCTTACAACTCTAGAAAGAACAGAAAATAAGACCAAACGGCTGTACCAAGTATACGAAGTCTGCCAGGATCCATGGACAGAACTGTAACACTTCACTATGTGGTACACACACTATTCTGTTCTCTGATTAAAGCCAAGAGGAACGTCACAACTCCTGCTCCCGACAGCACGGTTTCTGGTCCCTGCATTGGCTTCCACAGGAACCCTGGGGGCCAAGTGGGCTAAGCCCTGGGTGTTAAGGCTGCCGGTTCTGCCATGAAGCCTGGAAACCCTCCAGGGCTGCTCTTCTCTGTCCCACAGGGCTGGAACGAACTTGATGACAGCGGGTCATCGGTTACAGACAAACCCATTCTTGGGTTGTTTACAGTATTTTCGAAAATAATTGGCATTTGTTATGGAAGGAGGGAACTTTTGCAGAGACCATTTTTGGAGAATAAAAAAATACAACAGAAAGTAGAGTAAAAATTGACTTTTCCCTAAGAAAGCAATTAGGGAATGTCAAGCAGACAGCTTTCCTCTAGACTTTAGGAGCGAGCAGATGACCACGGGCAGGTAAGTGGCCATGGTCAGCCGAGAGCAGGCAGAGGCCGGACCTTCTTTGGGCACAACGATGTCAGGGAAAAGCAAGCAGGCCTGAGGGCACGGCGGTGATACTGCAGGGCTTGAGTCCATCATGAGAGAACGGAGTCTCCCTGCCCCTGCTGGAGTCTCCCTGCCTCTGCTGCACTCTGAAAACGGCCTGCACAGTCTGGGATCGGGCTCGGTTTTCAAGCACTCGGAGGTGGTGGGAATCTGTCCATCACTTTAACAGATTCTTTACCAGGCCCTCTCCAGACCAACTGCTCCCAGCCTCTGGGAAAGGGCTCTGACACGCTGGGGCTCACACGTCACGAGGACCATCCTCACTGGGCTTAAGTTTCCTTCTTTGGAGCTGACATACAACTGCTCCCCAGCATGACTCGGGCTCCACTTGGCCACACGCACGAGCTGAGCGTGACCGTGACCTCCCCATTCGCCCTCTCGGATCCACAGATCCCCGGTGTAAGGCGTCCTACCTTCTCGTCCCGGAAGTTGAGGAACTGCTGGAAGACCTCGCTCTCGGAGATGACGGGGTGACGACACATGCGGGTCACCCACCCCTGGAGCCTCTCCATGCGCATCTTGATGAACTCCTCCTCAAAGCGACCTGCGGAGACACAGCACGGGAGGTGAACAGAGAACTCTGCCCCAGAAGGCTTGGACCTGCCGGAGACACTCCACGGGAGGTGAACAGAGAACTATGCCCCAGACGGCTTGGCACCACTACAACCGAAGAACCACTGATAAGCAGTCATGACTACTTGGTACGAATCATTTCATAAAAGCAAAACTGTGCTTTTTCACCGACCTATACACGAGTGACACACTGCATGCTCCCGGGCCAGAAAAGGATGCAAAAGTCCTCTCCATCTTTAGAAATGAGTATTTCTGGTTTTCTATCTTTTCTCTCAGAATAACCACAACCTCCCAGCACTATTTTCTTCATGGTTCCTGAAAGCACTTTACCAAATTTAAAAGCAAAGCTTATCTCAATACAATAAAAAAAAAAAATACCCATTTCTTACAAAAAGAAGTGAGCAAGGAAGGGATGAAGTGGAAATCATGAGGAAACTTCTATAAAGTGTGAAATTTCTGTGTGTGCAAAAGTACATTATAATTTTGCACACTTCCATATGCCAATTTAGTATTTATGAAACATGAAGCAAGGGTGGACCTCTCCTTTTTTGTCTTTTAAGTTAAAATAAAAACAGAAAGAAAGGTTTCAGTCAAGATTACACTACCAGAAGGTGCTGCCTCAGAACCTAAGACCACATCAAAACAGAGCCTCACCGGTAATGTGTCTGCTCGAAACGCAGAAAAAAGGCTGAACACACAAACTGACCAAAGAGGAGCACCGAGGATTGCTCTAAAGCCCCAAATGCAAAAATGACCATCAGTTTCTGGACTTGGGATTCTGTAGCTGACTACAATCAGCTAATCTTATTCCCAAAGAGCAACACCAGCCTGTCCTCATCATGAGTTCCTGTATTTGGAAACCCGCTAAGTGTTCACTGAACATGCCCAGATGTTGGATTTTTTACAGAAGCAAAGCAGCAGACAAGCAGCTACTATAAAGATGTTCAAAGACCCGAAAGAAGCCACATTTTAAAATGAAGAAAAACGGTAACAAGGACTCAACAGAGATCCTCAAGGACACTAGAATTCTGAAAAAGACACAAATGAAAATGCTCGAGCTGGAAAACAGTAACGGAGATAAAAAATTCACTGCTGTGGCTCAGTGGATTAAAGACAGTGGAAGACTCGGTGAATGTGAAGGCTGATCAACAGAAGTCTCCTCTGAAGAACAGAGAGAACCCGGAGGAAAACGAGTCAAGCCTCAGGGAACATCACACCCGACAACACGCTTGATGTAGGATTTCCGGAGGAGGGCAGAAAAATGACAATACAAAAGCTGAAAATGTTCCTACTTTGATGGAGAACTACAGTCTTACGGTCCAAGAAAGTGCCACACACAGCAAGCAGGATAAACACGGAAGGACCCACACGAGACACAGCAGAATCAAACTGCTCAAAGACACAGAAAGAAAACCTTAGGAGGCATAAGAACAAGAGCTCGTCCCGGAGCGAGAGGGCCCGTACAGCGACCTAAAACAACACTTCCCAAAGCACAGCCTGCCTCCCCTTTAGAAGCTGCAGGCGGGAGTGAGCGAGGTCTTCCGAAAGAACGTGCAGACTTGAACTTGAATAGGACAATCATTCTGGACACTCCCGGACATTCAGGAACGGCACATGTCCCACTGGTGCGGGTGGAGACCTAACACTATGTGACATAAGTGATGCAGAGACAGCCTTAACCCTTCGGAAGGGGACCACTTTCTTTTCGAGGACAACAGGGACCAACCAAGTCAGCACGGGCCTGGGCTGCACAGAGGCCCCGACATGACAGAACCATGCCAGGATGGTCACTAATCACTGGCTGGAAGGGAAGGATTCTTATTTCACTGCAAAACTGTCCTCCTGAAAATTCTTCTGCCATCGTGAGTTCACCTCCAGACCACGACAACGGATGTTATTTTACACTTGGTTAAGATTTCCATACCAGGCTCTAGAGAATGTTTCTGAAAGGCGAGACAGGGCCTTCAATGCTGCCATTCTCAATTAAACATACCTACAGTTTCCACTTGTTTTGTGCCGCTGAGCTTGATTCTGATGCCCAGTGACCTACACACTCCAAAGCCAGACCCGCTCTGCGGAGCTGCTTCTGGGCCACAGCGACGCTGTCGAGCTTCCGAAGCAGCTGCATCTCAGGGCGCACAGCTCCCTTCCTCCTGCAGGGGATCTGCTAGATCTGACCTGCGGATCTTTGGGTTAACAGTGGAACACTAACGGTGCTCTTTACCCTGCAGAACGGCTGGTGGATTCGAGCTGTGGACCTCAGGGTTAGCACTCTGCTAGCAGGGCTTCTTGTAGTGAACCCGGAAGAGGGCAGAACTGCCCTATAGAGTTTTCTACACTGTCAGCTTCACGAGAGCAAATGGTCAAGTCTTGTCCCTCAAAGAGGGGCTCGTGGTTTTGAACTGCTCATGTTCTGGTTAGCAGCCAAGTGCTTTATTCATTGTGTGACGAGGGCTCTTTGCAAGTTTCATTAAGGATGTGAATATATCAGTTTGGCGTAATCCAGGAATAAAACCCAAGTTCACTCAATATTATTATTTCAAAGGAACAAAAGTTATAAACAGAAAATGTCAACTATGTAATTTCTCCATGGATTAATTACCAAGACATCTGAAATATCATGACATCATTTTCTTCATCACCTTCCCCCTCCTCCTCCAGGATTAAGTGAGAGGGGTTTTACTATAATAAAGACCCTGTGTGCACTGGGGGCAGGGACAGATGGGGATAAAGTCCCTTCTGTGCCTCCGGAGGCCCTGGCACATGCCCAGCCGTGAATCAAAGCGCAGCTTTCTTCAGAGGCTGCTGCCTCGCTTTGCTATCACAGCCCTGGCGGCGGGCCTGACTGGTTTTTAAAACCACAAACCTTGAGATGGGGGAGAAGGTGGGACTACGGTGCTTCCACTGGACCACCTGATTCAGGATAAACAGTGCGTGAAAAACTGAAAAGATGAAAAACTACAACTCTCGGAAAGCATCCTTTCACGCTGAGCTCACTGGGTCGACGCAGGGAAGTGGAACATTCAAGGAAACACCTACATTTACATGTAAGGAGAAACGGAACTGCTATTTTCACAGAAATGAAGGGAAACTTTTAAAGTAGTTATGACTTAAAGGAATGAGGAAGCCAAGCAGGAGGGAGGGGGTCTGTAAACCGGTGTAGAACTGGTGGGCGGGGGAGACCCTGAAGGAGGAAACACATCCAGCTTCTTCACGGGGCCACCCAGGTGTCACTCTCTCTGACCACATGCGCGCTCTCCCCACCTTGTGGGACAACTACACATGTCCAGATCTTAGCACACCTGGCTCACCTGTCTTCCCAGCTGTCACTTCCCACATCATTTTCATATTCCTGTGTTTCTTCTGTGGGACGCTCTGGTGGCCTTGCCCATAGTGAGCTGCACTGCCAACCTTAAGCCCATGCCTCTCTGGAGTTCAAGTCCACCAGCAGCTCCACAGAAGGAAGACGGGCAGTCCCCTTCTGTGCAAGTTACAGCCTCAGACATCCGCTGGAGGGTCAGCTAGGAGTGGGCTCTGACCCAATGGCTAACGGTAAGTTATGAACATTGTTCACAGGAACTGACAAAGTCGCATTCCACATCCCTGCAGGTAGCAGCAGCCCCCGTGACCGGCCACTGTGCTGAGGATGAAACCTGCTTCCCAACTCGGGGAGTCCCTGCTCCCAAACTCCTCCAGATGGTGGGGTACACCACGACTGAGTGAGGCCCCATAGCCTCACCGGGGCCTTTTCACCCCCATAGCTTCACTGGGCCCTTTGTCACCTGCCACGCCCCCAACACACTCACCTGTCACCTGCTTATCTGGAAGGGAAGGGATGGGAATGGCCGTCCCAAACTTCACCAGGAGACGCTCATACAACCAGTCAAAGTGCTTATACCGGTGGTTAACCGATCGGTTAGTGTTCTGTGAAACGGGAAAGACAGAGTCAGCAACGCCAACTAGAGAGAAGGAAGAACTGGGCCAGCCGTAGCCCGTGGGCACCAGTGCTTCCGGGACACTCACCGTGGGCGTCAGCTGATACTCGATGTAGCTCTTCAGACCGTACATCTTGGAGCCTTTCTTGGGATCAGCCACCACACAGTCAAACGTAGAGGTAGGGTAAACCCACATGGGGCCATAATCTCCAACCTACACGGCGTCCCCGGGGGAAATGAAGAGAGAGACTATAAATGACGGAAGTCGGTAAGTAGTTCAAGAGCAAGACTCCAGGTGAGGGTCATTCTGGTTCCTCCGTGAGCAGTTACATAAAGGCTTTCTGTTCCTGTCAGGTGTTTTACTTAAAGAACACTGTTGTCCTGAAAACCCATCTCCTCCCCCGTGTCCCCTCAGAGTCCAGGGAAACCCCTGCTGCCCCTCTAGGGTGGACTGGATGAACATCCCTCTCCACAGCCAAGTCCTCCTCAATCTCCATATGACAAAGGCCTAGCTTTAAAAAAAAAGTCTCCAAGTCTCACAGGTGGGCAGTTCCTTAATACAGAAAATACACATACTTTGATGTCTCAACAATGACAAACTTGCTATCAAACTTTCTAAACGCCTGCTCTCTCTTTTTGTACAGTGGTAACACCAAGTGGGCAGATGGACAGCTTGTCCACAGACCCTACCGCAGGTCCGCAGACCCTACCGCAGGTCCGTAGGCCCTACCGCTGGTCCGCAGGC